AGCAATCAATTACACATCACATGGTATGATTAAAAGGGGAATTAAATATTTTGAATATATAACTAACACCACATTTTGATTGCATCAGTAGAATTCACCCAAGTAAAATATACCCATTAGTTATACTAAAGCTGAAAAATATTTTGGAGGCAATAGTTTTCACTTTTTTTTCTTTTTTAATTAAAAGATGGAAAAATTGTCAAAAGAATACAAATTAGGTTCACAAAAGACAGGACATGATATAATGTAAATCATTACAAAACTTACTATTTGAAATATTGCTAAAAGCAAGTAAATATATAAATTGGGCTATCTTGCATTCTTTAGCTGTTCAGAAATATGATATTTCAGATATGAACAGGGATTGTATTTATTGATGATCAAAGGAGAATTCATCAAAAAAAAAAAAAAAAAAAAAAGAAAATCTAAGTGATAAAACTTTCTTTATATAAAGAAAAAAACTCTAGCATATTGTTTTCATAAGTGACTCCTAAAGACATGAAAATTGAGAAGAAAAAAAGAAATGAAAAAATTAAAAGAATTACTTTTGAGGATTTTAAAAACAAAATTTAAACTTTGCAAGTTCAACAACAGTTTTAGTAGAGTAGCATACAAGAACTTTAGACATCCACAGATAGAGATAACTGTCTCAAGATATCATCACAGCAAGAAAAGAAAAATCCTGTTTTCAATCCTGTTTTATACTAGGTTCTTTATTCATGGATTCAGCTGGCATGGTCTGGTGAGGAGAGAAGTGTCACTTGACCCATTTTCACTGTTACTTTGGCCTCCTCTCACAATAGACTAATGGACCAGATCTTCTTTCAGACAGCAAGAACACTGTTGATTCAGGAGAGAGAATTGGAGTTCTCTCTGCCTATCTTTATACCACAATAGACAGCTTTTGACTCTAGTCCCTCCAACCATTCCAACTGTCATCACCAATTCTAGGATGTGGCTGGACTATATAAGTCCACAACTGGAATTCCCTACCTTCCAGAGTGGCACTTAACCTCAAAATTTTTCATTTATTTATGTACTTTATTTCTTTCTTCTGTTTTGACATCCTCATTTTTACTTGTAGTCATCAAATATCAGTCACTTCAGACTCAGATAAAATCATTTACAGCCCACTTCATGGGTGTCTTAATAGGGGCCCATTGTGTCACTGATACTGAAATACTTCAAGTGAATCACTCTTGAATTTTACATTTACTGAATTCCCTATTTAACACAGATTCTATATGTCCAAAGTTTAAAATAGAACATTAAATTTTCAAGTAGTTTTCTTCATTTTACTGTTGCTTTTTACTACACAGCACTCAAGGTAAAATCACTTTCAATGGTTAAGATGAAGAAAACTAGGAAAAATACTTCATTTGAGAAATTCAATAACTTAGAAGACAATTTTTATTTGGTTAAATAAATTTTACCAAATACTTTTCCAGTTTATTACTGGATTCTTTATTCATTTACAATGTTGAGGAACACTTAAGCAAATCATTTAAAAAACACAAAATAACTGGTTAACTTCATGACAGTTTATTTATCCAAAAATTATAATTGCAACATAAAAATATCTCTAATCCAAAGATTTTTGTAAAACAAATCTCTTCACAATAAGTCTACTACTGTGTTCAATTATGGAGTTAAAGCTATTTCTTTAAATAATAAGGGTAACCCTTATGATACCAATGTATGAATGTCTGAACGTGTCAAAAAGTAACCTATTTTCACCAATTGCCTGACCATTATTGTAGTGTTTTTATTTTAGTTTACTGCAAGTGACAAAGTTCACATTTTTATAATTGGCAATGAAAGAAAGTAAAATAAAAAAATAAGTTATTCATGAGTATTTAATGTAATATTAAGAAGAGTATCAAGTTTCTAATTCTGCATGGAATACACAAGCTCTTGTTTCATACAAAAAATAACACGTGAACTATGTAGATAGATGAGGACGTATTATTTTACCAGAGTTACCCTAGTTAACAATAACTGTTGTAGATAATTACTTTGTTAAACCAATAACTATTAAGAATAAATTGTTTAACTATTAAATTCTCTAATACTGCCTAATATAAATTTTCAACAATTTACCGAGACAAATGAAAAATAAATGCAAAAAAAAAATAAATAAATAAATAAATAATAATAAAATCAAGACAAAAACTTATTTCAATAATAATGAATATTATAATAATAAAATTTACTTCAAACTTCCTTTAAACTTGCAGGTAGGAAGTGGAACTCTTGTGCACCCTATAAATATTACTTCACAATGATAATATGTGTATGGTAAAAGTAATGGTTTAAATTAACAGTTTCCATACAGGAAATATTTGGAAAAATGAAACTGCTATCTTTTAATCATCATAGAGAACTATTTTTGCCCTATCATTAGCATGGATGATACTAACCTTCAGGAGAGTCACTCATTGAACCTTCTTGATCTCATGTTTTTCACTGCCATGAAGTCGAGTGATTATATTGAATCAATTGTTAGGTCTGCTGCTAGGTAAGTTGGTTCCCGGTGTTGTGCTAAACAAATTTTTCTCACCAAGATCCTTCTTGCATATTTATAAATCTACCATTCATCCATGCATTGAATATTGCTACCATATTTAGTCCGATCCTCTTGCTATATATCTTAATATTCATGATGAGATCCAAAGAACAGTCTGTAATGTTATCAGTCCTGACCTGGCATCCTGACCTTAGTTACTTCCCCACCAGCATGATATGGCATCCTTCTGTCTTTTCTATAAATATTTTCATGACAGTTGTTCTGAGCTTTTCTCCTTAGTATCTCAACTGTGAGAAATTAAGCGTACTACTAGATTGGCAATTAGGTCTCATAATTTTACTGTTGAAATTACTAGATGCATCCGCAATTTCTAGCCTAATAGTTTCTTACACTTCTCACCTGTGGAACTTTCTTCCAGTTTCTTGCTTCCCTGCCACTTATGATCTTCAAAAATTTAAATGCAATGTCAATTGCAATCTTCTGTCTTCCTGAATCCTGTTCTTTTAATGTCCTTTCTCCTCACTAAAATCTCATTCTCTTTCACTCCTAGGAAGCCCATGCATCTCAGTGGCATTATCACCTTGCTTGGAGTGAAATGATTTAAAAAGAAAAAAAACAACACAAACAGAACACAGAACAGTTTTTTGTTCTGGAAATGAGACTTCAAGTCCACTGTTATAAGTCTTTCTAGTACTGATGGAAGTTTCCTTATAAACCATTTGTCTTTGGTAATGTGGAAAGTTAACAGCTTGATTATATCATTATATCTTGCAGTTGCAGAGGCTGACAATTTTTGTTGATGCTGTAGGAAGAGTTCTAGTAATGAATTTTTTGTTATTTACTGTAGCTCTTTCTGATTTTGTAACCATAGTCGAAAGGGTCTGATGAGGTTACAGTGATGGAAAAAAAACAAAAAACAAAACAGAATTTAAAAGACAACAAAGAAGAGTGACCATGTTACTGAGCAAGAATGGATTAAATGAGATTAGCAAATAATGGTACCACTGCTGAAAAACCAGCTGAGGAGCAACCTAATGTCAGAGGATTTTCAAATAAACAGAACACAGAGACAGCGATTATCCAAGATTAAAAGATTAGCTTGTACGATCTTGACACCCCTTACAGTCATCACAGGTGCTCAGAGATAATAATATCAGTAGCCCAAGGAGATTTAGAGATGCAATATGTTACTGATGAAGATTATCATTTTAGTGCTCACCACTGATAAGCTGAGATTTAATATTTATATATATATATATATATATATATATATATATATATATATAGCCAGCATTATTATAAAAATAATTATATTATTATAACAATGAAAGTATTTCTATATTTATTACTTGTTTATAATCACCAATAAATATTGGTGCTTCACAGCAATCACTTGTGTACATTAAGTTTAATATATGATTATTATATGAAGAAGTAAGTGTTACCACCTTAGTATGCCATAGCGATTAGCAATCTATTATTACTCTAGTTAATTTGATCCTCACTAGGTGTCCCATACTTCAGATTAAGCTAAGCTTAAGTAATAAACAACTAGAGTCTTCAAACAAAATTAAAGTATATTGTAAATGTCATGGTGTAGCCACGTATAACAAAAGTGGAAGATGATAAAAATTATTTATAAGCCTGTTTCCGCAGTCACTTCCAGGTTTTGATTTTGCCTGATATTTTCATAATAAAAATAAAAAAAAAATAACTTTTGCATTAGTCGATTTCTTGTTAATTCATACAGAATAACAATTAGCAAAGTTTATAACTGTGGAGACAATAAAATCAGTTCAACCTAAAATCAAAACTGGATAATTTGCATACAGTCAATGACTTTTTATATTTGTATTTCAATTTCAAGTGAATTGGGTTTCTATATTTTGAAATGGGACCTCATTACAAACCTTGAAGGAAAAAAATATGTCTAACATAAATGTCATGTCACCACAACTCTGTCCTTTGCAACCATTAGTAAAGTTTGCCTATCTTCTAATCCCTGTTCTGCCAACCATTTACACAAGTTCATTAGGTAGGTCATGTACTGCTTTCTTCCATCCTATTGCCTTCAATATATCCTGTATCAAATATTTCAAGCCCTCTTTCTTCATTATCTGCCATTGAAATTTCAACTTTCTTATGCTATATGTAAGTGTCCTTCTTGTTTTCATTTTCTACAAAACTTTGGTGCTTTACATAATTAAGAAAAACACAGCAAATAAAATTAACAAATTCAGACTATTATCCTTATCTTTGCTATACATACAAGACATTAAACTGAACAAAACTTTGACCTTTGAGTGGTTTAGTTTCTCTTGAAAATTATGAAGTGAAATATTTGAGTTCAACATTTTAATTATGAGATGTAATGACTGAATATAAAAGATCCCTGTTAGGAATTGTATATACGCAATGTTGGTCAGAATAATGTATTCATCATATGCACACACTAGAAAGTTTATATACAAACCTATTTTGTCGTTCCAAATCATCATTTAACTGTTCTATTCGGATTATGTATTTTTGATTCTCTTCTTTCCAGGCCTTGTAGCCACAGACTTCTGTTTGCAACTTAGAGACTTCATAGTGCCAAGCTGTTTGTACACTTTCCAACTTTTTCTGCAATTAAAAACAGGAAGCATGATTAACAAAAACTAATAACAAATAATAAGACATTTCACAAAATAATTGTGGGGTTATTTTTAGTGAAGAAAAATTTAAGATTGATTTCTTTACAAAAAATTCATTTTGCTTTATTTGGACCAAAGTCTATCATTATGACTACCTAACAAAGCTAAGGGCTTCCTCCTTTTTTTTTTTTTAACATTCCACATTCTTTAATGTGGATAGTGTTAGAAATAGAACAGACAAGATAGGTTGGCAAGCAGAAATGATAAAAAGGAACACAAAATGCTTACTAAGAAAATGAATAGGGCCTGATAATTTGTTGAAAAACTAACATGCACAAATGACACTAGCACAAAGCAGGTCACAAGGAAAAATAAATAAAATATATTGGTGAAAACTGCACCAACAAAATAACAGTAAAAACTATTCAGAAATGTGAAGACAAAGAAATAAGTGCTAATGGCTAGCTCAGTGGAAAACAATTTGGATAGTCTTCTGAATTACATGAAGAAGTCCATAAGTCATTTCATGTAGTTTATATAATGTTGGGTCTGAGGGTATCTCATGACTGTTTATTGGTTTAATTTCCAACAAGTTTAATTATAAGCCTAGCAAAGGCCATGGCAATTAACAGAAGAGGAAACAAACATTGGTCGAGTTAATCACTAACAACTATAAGGTAGATGCAACACTAAACAAGAAATACAAAAGAAGGCATCAGACAAAACTATCATACTTGATATTATTATTATCACAATTTTCTTTTTTTTATAACAGACAAAAAGACACAAACATGAACAAGCACCCAGCAGGGTAGGAAGTATGCTTTTAGTCTTTCATCATTCCTAAAAAGTAATTATCCCAAGAAACAAAGTAACTGATTTTAACCTGTTTTTTTTGTTTTTTTATTTGGACAGTACACAAGAGATTTAATATCACACCTTGAAACAGAGAAATAAATAAAAAAAAAAAAATCATTTTTGTACTTTATTTTTATCAATAGGTCAGTGATCCCTGTTAGTCTAAATTTGATTTCTATGTAAATAAAGTGCCATCCAAAAATTGTACTATTCTCATTTCAATTTACTGTTAAATTCAACAGTAAATTGAAATTTAATAATTTGTATTTAGAAAAATGAATATAAATTATAATTAATGGTATTTTAAGTATACATGACATTTTATTTAAGTTAGGATCTGAAGAAAAAAAAACTTAAATGAAATTATCCATTGTTACTAAAGAGTATAGAGAAAGTTATTTCAAAGCACATCTTTAAAACCAGGCCATAAATGGAAGATCATCTAATAGAATGTTACATGGTATGCACCAAATTTTAATATTCCCATTTCACTTTCAGACATATCAAGTGCATTAACGCAACAACATCCAATTTCAGAGAGTTTGAAAATTTGAAATCAAGGCATGTACTTATGGCACAGACATCAACCAGTGACTCTGCGACAACCAATGTCTCTCCATGGAAATATTCAGTGATGTACATCAAGTTTTATACATATTATCTGAAAGTTAATGCCACCACTGACATAGGTACTGGACAGGGTGATGAAGCCATGGATTGAGAGAACAGCTCCCATCCATATGACCACCAAGGTGTGGCTGACCAAGAGCTTTTGTAATCATGTCACTCACACTAGCTCTCCTGATTTGACTCTCCTAGCCCTCTATATCTGGGTGTGTGTCATTGAAAAGATGCAGTTCCACAATACTAAGGACTCATTCAAAACCACCATCATGAGCATGATGTCCAACAGAAATAAGAACCATTTGATCCAGGTGTGCAGTCACTTCCGAGTCCATATCAAGGATATCCTCAAAGCCGAAGGCAGATGTATTGTTTAACTTTTTTGTATTTACATTCAAACTAATGTCCTAATTTTTGTTTTTGCTTGCACATTTTAACTTCTTGAAGGCCATAGAACACAAAGGCTGAAACATAATAACGACAAAAAAGACGTGGGCATTAGCTTAAATCTAAATAATGTAAATCAAAAGTCATTCCAAAAATATCTGTTTTCCGTTCAAACTTAAAGTTGTGTAAAATATAAAAAAAAAAATAAATAAATAAAAAAAAAGTGATTATTTTTTTTCTATTGAATATATTTGGTTTTCTTTCTATCACAACCCCATAAGCAAAGCAATGAAGATCATTTACAAGCAAAAATAATGACAAAAATTCTGATTTCAGTAACATGATAGTTTATGTGAAAATGGATGATATATTTTGGACAGTTCGTAAAACAAAGAAATTCTACCACAAACTTTCATGTCACAAGTGAGAAAAAAAAACTCCTAAGGGTTAATTTGCTCAACTATGGCAATTGAAAAGTAATCCATTTATATTTACCACAAAATAACAGTAAGGCAGGTGCACATTTGAATAAAGAAGAGAATTTGTTAATAACTTTAATTACTGAATTACACTGGAGATTATCCAATTTAAACAGTCTTTAATTTTTTTTTTTTTTTCATACCAAATTTAAGAAACAAACCTTAAGTTTATTATATTTATACAAAAAAAGTCTGAATAATATATGAAACAAGAGTAACCTAAATAAAAAGATTAAAATTGAATGAGAAAATGTTAAAATACTCATTATCTTAAAAGAAACTGAAATAAGAACTTTAAAAGATAAAAAAAAAACTTTTAGAAGTATCCCATGTATAAAACACAATTCAAATATTTTTTTTTGTATTTGTAACACTTCACAGAGCACACAGATACTAGACTGGTCATAGACAGAAGTGTCAGAGAGCAATATTTTCATCCATAAATGATCCAGATATTCTTTATGGGTATTATGCTAGTCGCAAAATAAAAAACATTAAGACTGAAAATATTAGACACCTTTTTCTATTTAAATGGAGATCATAAAAAGTTAATTTTTATGTCAATATACTTTTATAGAGATAAAAGGATTTTTTATTGAACAGATTTTTTTTTAGAATTTTATTTCATTTTAAAATATTTAAGCTAGTAAAATTTTAAAATGAGAACAGACAAAAATGTCAAATTTTACACTAAAGTTATTAATACTACTTTCCCTCCAATTGATATAGTATTTGAATGAAAATATTTAAAATTTGACTCCATGCCAAAATATTATATATTTGGCTCAATGTAAAAGAATACTTAAGAAAAAGAAAAACGACCCTTATTTTTAAATTGCTAAGAACAAAGAGTGAATCTCACAAAATAAAATTTATCACTACACAATAGCAGCTAAAATACTATTAAAAAGGTACTGTTAACAAGGGACAGGACAAACACATTCCAAGCAGATATGACAAGACTAAACTTGGTATGCAAAACAAAAACAGGTAATGGTCTATATAGAAGGTTATTTAATGAAAATATGCAAATAAACAAAATAAGAAATACTTATGGAAAGAAAACAATTCTGCTATATTGATTATATACTGTTTAATTAAAAGATTCTGTTTCACACAACTTACCTTTAAGGAGTCCACTTCTTCCTGTAATCTATTGTTCATCAAAGAAAAATCTTTCTTTTCTTTATCTAACTGTTTTATTGTTGTGTCTAATTCTTCTTCTAAGTCTTTGCTGCTGGCATGGAATTCAAGATATTCTTCCCGAACAACTTGTAACCTGGAAACAGAGAAATATCAAAAGTTAATGAGGACATTTTAACTACCTGTAGTGCTTAGTGAGACAGGTTCAGACATGTGTAAATATTAAGTCAGTTAAATTTTTATTTGTTAGTAGCACAGGTAAAACACAAGAAAAAAAAGAAAAAAAAATATAGTTCTAGTAATTTTTTTCAGATGTATAAATATATTTGTCTTCACCTCATTTTTTTTATATCTAAATTTTTCCTACCACTTTCAAAAGACAAGACTTCCCCAGCTGTCAGTTATAGTAAGTAATGGGTCTTGACAGTGGACCATTATATATATATATATATATATATATATATATATATATATATATATATTGCTCCTATTTACAAGTGTAAAGATAAAACCTATATACTGTAAAAAAATGAAATAATAAATAAATGCTTCAGAAAAAAGAAATTAATAGATGCAGAAAAACTGGATTTTGCAGCATTCATGGAATACTTATTTTCTCCACATATATACATATTATGTAAATAGATAGATAGAGATGTAGATAGATACATGATGACCCGGTTTATCTGTGGAATCTGAGATGTCCCCAAAGGAGAAATGGAAAGAAGCTTGAGCAATTGCTGTCCCTAGTCCCACGTACACATGGGTTCCTTACCTTAAATTCAGCCTTATGCCATACAATATTCAAGTGCAGACATACCTACATATATCCCCCCACACGTGTGTGTGTGTGTGCATCTTTTCAACAAGCAAAAAAAAAAAAAAAAAATCCATAAAGTATGCTAACAATATCCTTGTATAACAGTAAAAACAGTTCAGACAATGGAATTGTCTTGAGAAAAAAAAAAAAAAAAAAAACAGTTAATGTTACCAGAAAAAAAAATCGTTTGATGTTAAAACTTTGAAATGCAAACCATTCATCCAAAATGAAGCAATGATTAACAACAATTGTCCTAAAACGAGACATAAGTTGTGTTCCAATGATCTATGTATTTACATATTCTATACTTACTATTCATGAAAAGTAGACAAGTTCAAAACAATATCAATCAACAAAGTCTTCCTGCAAAAACCAAATTCATCATGTTTGCATTTATAGTGAGAGGCACAAAAATTATTTTTATAAGCAAGAATCTGCATTAATCTCTCTCACACACAAAACACCAAGTAGCAATTAAGTTGAAATAAAAAAAAAAATATAACTTCAACAGTTCTTAAAAAAAAATTATAAAAAGAGAATTAAATACTCTGAAATGGTTCACTTCTGTCTTCAACTTTGAAGTATTTGAAAAGTGAATAGCAAATACTTGCAGACAGCCAGAAATGGCCTTAGAATTCATCTTTTTTTTTTTCTGAATTTTGCCTGGACTCAAGAGTGGAATGACAGCTGTCTATACAAATGAGGATTTTAATGAAAATAAATGTTCAAATAAACTTGTTTAGCAAACAAAAAGGCTTGAAAAAAAAAAAAAAAAAAAAAGTGTGACTGATTATAAATGTTGGCTGAGTGACATAGCTGGTTTTCTAAATATGGTTAGAAGACAAAATCTACTAGTCAATTCAAGAACTCTAAAATATGCAGGTTGCTATAAATATCTGCTTTTCTTCAATGACTAAATGCAGTTTTCTGAAACCAGAATCAATTGCAGTAAAAGCTTCTAAAAAAAGTAGACATCTGCTACCATTATGCTTCAGATTTTATGTTAAACTTAAAAATGAAGAAAATGGCACACAAAATATTTCATTCTTGCTTTGGGTCAATACAACAAAAAAAATTGATTTTTTACATTAAATTCTGCTTTAAATAATGACTAACATTAATGTAATCATGAAAAGCACCAATAACTAAATGGCTAGCAAGTGCAAGTAGGACATTTAGCAAAAAAGCAAAAGTATATCATACATAGAAGTTGTATAGATTTTTGTAGCGTGAGGATAATTTCTAAATGTTCATTTTTTTTTTTATTTTTAATGACATTCTATTTTTAACATTGAGTCATTAACCAAGTACACTGACACTATTAAAATGAAATACAGTAATTTTAATCGAATAAATTGTTTTCTATAGTCATCAAACATAAAAAAAATGTGAAATAATAATTATCTTAAGAAAATAGTGAGTATCTTAACCTTTCCATGATAGAATTAAAGGTGAAGATAAATGAAAGAAAAGATTTTAAAATTAATGTTTATATAACAATTGATTTATAGGTAATTAAAGAAAAGGCATTAGGAAAATTATTGACATATGCACTGGTGGTAGATTAACTAAAGAGACTTTATCATGAATTACCATTACAATATTACTTACACAGTGTACTAAGAAATGAGTTTAGTAAAGAAAAAAAAATTACATCAAAGCAATCAATATATATATATATATATATATATATATATATAAAGACAACAAAGTCTTTATTCCAGTAACAAAAGAATGGTTAAAATTGCTTTGAATGCCAATTTTAAATAGACCACCTGGAAAAGGAAAGATTTTTTTAGGGCAGAAAAAAAACAAACACTTCATAAGAAAAATATTAGAAAGATCAAGACCAGTACAAATATTGAGTGTCTAGGAATTCTGAATGAAAGAAATTGAAAGTTTGATGGCGAACTGCCTTAGAGAAGCTGATACTAAGAGTTACAGATTTCACTCAGTTCTGCAGTGGGACTTGTTGAAAGCTAAAATTTATCGACTTTAGTAGAAGTTAAATATAGAAAGAAATATTGCACAATGAAAGGAACTGAAATTTTCTGATATATATTCAAAAAATACAAAAAATTGTATTTATTCTAAGAGATGTTCCAATTCCAAGATGTAATTAATAAGACAGCCAAAAGTTTTGCCTATATGTTGCACATGTGTATACTTTAAATACTAAATGTAGGTTGTAAACAATTTTTTTTTCCAAAATGTTTCTGCTGGATATTCAAGCCAACATTAACACATCAATGTAATATGTGAAGATTTAAGATTATAATTTCTAAAAGGATAATGAATGTTTATACAACAAAACCAACAAAAATCATATGAGACTAAAACAAAAAAGTCGAGAAAATGACTCAGCAGCATCAAAATAACCCCCAAGAAACTTAATTTCTTAGAGATAATCCTCTTTAATCCAACCAATATTTGACCCTGCTGTTAATTAAATAAAGATTAGAACGGAACAAGAATTGTGTGTGAGAGTGAGAGAGAGAACATTCTTTTTAACAGACAGCCATGCCTAATGTTTCTTTTTCTATTTCCGATATATCCTTTTGTTAGATGATAGCTGCTGGTAATGATTTTAAGTTCATTAACAGGAACAATATGCTTTGTGAAACTAAATAAAATGATGGGAATTACAAAAATGTAGAAAATTATAATTTACAAACTCATAAACATATTTTAAAAGGCCACAATAAGTTTTTCTTCTCAAAAGCCTATTAAGAAGCATTAACAATATCAGAAGATATTAATACCCCAAACATTATTTCCAAGATGGAAGTGTTTTATTTTTATTAAATGGAAAATAAAGATAAGGAGGTAGTAGTAAGAGGAAAATATAAAATATCTTCACTCCAACTAATGAGAAAGAAGCTTTTGCTAAAAAACAAACTCCAATAAAATTTCCAAATGTCCTTTGTAGCTCTTAGTAAGTTTTATCTTTTTGCTACATCTCTTGAACTCTATTCTACCAACCATTTGCAAGGCTCATTATGTAGACTATGTGCAGCTTTCCTGTCCTTCAATGTCCTGTGAATGTCAAATTCTCCAAGCTCTCTTTCCTCATTATGAGATTTATAATTTAAATTGTCTCTTTTTGATTCAAAGTATCCTTTTTGTTTCTATAAAAATTTTACCTAAATGAATCAAACTTTTTTCAATAGCTAAAACAAAAAGATATGAAGAATTTTTTTAATTAATATTTAGAAATTCTTAATAAAATAGACATTTTAAATACTTAATTGACAGCAAGATACACTGTTTAAAAAATCTGAATATCTTTTCCTAATTAGATAAATAATTTAATGAAAATTGTGTGAATAATCAAGTATTTAAAGAGAATTAATTATATGAGTGTATTGATAATTATTTTGCTCTCAGCCATTAGCTCAAAGCAAGACATTGTTCCATCTGAATAGTTCTCTTGGAATTGGATTTCTATGAGGATGTGGACCTTAATTAGACAGGTTCATCAATGTTAGTGGTAGCATGCATAGGCTGCTTGAAATAAAAATTTAGACTTTGTTCAAATATACAAAGAGATCCAAGACATATATAACAAAAGAAAACAGTAAGTAACAATTACCAAACTTCTTTACTGTACACATTTACAGATGAGCAATGTTTTCATATAACTGAGGGTTTCATTTGCACACATTGTATAAAAAAGTTATATACAAAGATAGTCATCTAATTGTTACATCAGGTGAATTTAAGCTTTTCAGATGCTTTATGGATAAAACAAAATTACCAAATATCAAGATACAACATAAGGTTTTTTCAGTTAGCATAAATGATTCACTCACTTTTGCATTAATATCTAAGTTTACCTTTTAAAAGTTCAATGATAATTCTTCTGCCACCACTTAATTTAAAGACAATTTGATGTATGTAGGTCCTTACTTTCCATAAAAACAATTATTTTTATTTCATGGGTGACTTCTACATATAGAAAAAAAAAAACATGAACACAATCACAGTAATAAAAATTGGGAATCCAAAATTTCAGGACTGTGCGTCCGGATCCAACCCAGAACGTTTTTAATTTGCTCATGGAGTCAGCCCAATTCCAAAATGGTATATGTTGGGCTACAGCTTCTAGGAGATAAAGTGTGACAGTGACATTCCCATTTAGTGTGTGTGTGTGTGTGTGTGTGTGTAGAAAGCTCCTCTAAAAGCAAATGAGAAAGTTTTACAAAATATGAGGGATCCTTTGAAAGTAATGCTTCTCATTTATTTGCATGATAACTATTACAGGAAACACAATAAGTGTCAGAAAGGACAGGTTCCCAATTCCAAAACACTACTTT